GAGAGAGAGAGAGAGAGATAGATGGATAGATAGAGAGAGAGAGAGATAGATAGATATAGATATAGATAGATATGCTTTATTGATCCCAAATTGTGAAATTCTTTTGTTACATCAGCATTGTGTTCAGGCTTTACAATATTTGAAAAATTGAATAAAGTATAAACACAATGAAATGAAAAAATATTAAAGGTGTGTGTGTGTGTATATATAAACATAGCAAAGGAAGAAAATACATGTATATTATTATATATATTTTAAAAATATATTTATTATAATATATATTATTGGCTTATCGTGTCGATCTTTTTTATATTAATCGTTGGGTCTTTAAAACTGTTCAAGAAAGTCAAAATGTGATTTCTTAAAACGTCTTCTTTTAAATGTCAAAACCCAAAGATATTGAATTCTGTATTTGACAGAGGGCGCTTCACCTTTATGCACAAAAAAGCTAAACATTATTATTATTATTTTTATGTATTGGTTGATTTCCAGATCAATAATCATTTGGTTTAGAAAACTTCAGAAAAAAGTGACAAATATCAATCAATTTTCTCAAGTTCCATAATGATGTTGTTAAATGTCTGGTTTTGTCAGCCCAAAACCCCAGGAAATGGCATTTTATATGATTAAGCAAAGATAAGATAAGGTATACCTTTATTGATCGCTGTTAAAGCGGCCACAGAAGAAGAGGAAAAGCAGGAAAGCTGATCAATTGAAGGCTGATACAAAAAATGTCTGCCGATTGCTGGCTACTATTATTATTTCTTAAAAAGTGTTTTATTACTTATGTGTGCTTTTCTTTTTTATTATTGCTTTTTTTTGTATTCACTGTTAATGTCCCGCTGTGGGACTAATGCAGTGGTTCTCAAACTTTTTCTGTCAGGCCCCCCCTTTGGAGAAGAAAAAAGTCGGTCCCCCCCAACAAAAATAGTCACGCAATAGGCCAAGTTAACATTTATTAAAATACATCAATATGAACCTGAGCATTCCTTTGCTAGAACAGTGATTATAAAACAATGCTCCAAAAGTCTGTGTGATCAAAAAGAAATAAATACATAATACAATTGTGAATCCCTTTGCTAGAACAATAAGTTATAATACTTTACCACTTTGCAGTCTGTGCAAAAAAATGAAAAGAAAGAAAAAGCTGATATTTGGCAAAAAAGTGTGTCTTATCACAGCATTAGTGGCTGCAATGAGCCTGTTTGGCACTGCACATTTCTTCAAAACGGGGTTGCAGGCTCAGTGGCGACGCCAGAGATTTATTGTGGGGTGCTGTGGGGTAGCTTGACGTTTCATAGAGGGTGCTCAAACATTTAGGGTTTCCTATTAATGTAGCAGTCGCTACAGTGGAATGTTCTACTGCAACAATCCCCACGCACATACACAGTGTACCTGTGACTGTTACAATGAAGGCTCGATAATCAGCTCATGGCAAATAGGTGTAAGCTGGGGTAAAGTGCTATTTTTACAAGTGGGGAGTGGACCTAACATAGGGGGATCCGGGGGCATGCTCACCCGGGAAGCATGCCCCGTAAACAGATTGACTTTTTCTTTATGGATATTTTACAAATCACTCCCCTTTTAAACATATAGTATTTTATACCCTTTTTTCATTTATTCTCTTATTTTTTTACAACTATAATGATCATATAAACGTGTGCCTTGGAAATAATTGTTTACATTAATCGTGACCAAAACGTTTGAGACCCACCGAGAGAGTCCTTTACTTCACCTGAGCCTCTCAGTCTGACAGGAGAGCTCTCCTCCACCTTGTTGTTGAAAAAGCTTCTTATATCCGTTAGCGTAGCTCGCTAGCACAAGAAGCTAACAACAACGATCTCCGGTACCGGTGCGCTCTCTCTCTCACTCGCGCACGCACACAAAATGGCTCGTTGCAAACACACACACAGAACCGAGCTTGAATGAGACACAGAGACCCAGACGTATTTGTACTGTATCATATTATTTTCGAATCAATAATTTGACAAATTATGATTTCGTTTTTCAAAAACATGTTTCACCCTGGTGTCTCGCGCAGAGGCATGACAGGGGGGGGCCTTGTCATGCCTCTGCGACCCCACTTTGAGAAACACCAGACTAATGACTGAGTTCTGGTGCTGATGCTGGTTTTCTCTCCCCCCAGGTGTCCCAGTGACTACGTGGGTAACCGCTGCCAGTACCCGAGCCCCTGCAGCCCCTCCCCCTGCAGGAACGGAGGGGAATGTCGCGCCGTGTTACATGGCAACGGGTTTGATTTCCGCTGCGTGTGCCGCCTGGGTTTCACCGATGAACTGTGCCTGACCCCCAACAACCACGCCTGCATGAGCTCCCCCTGCCGCAACGGGGGGACATGTGACCTCATCACCCTCACCGTGTTCCGCTGCAGGTGCTCCCCTGGATGGTCAGGTGTGTGGAGAATAATCCATAAATAACTGTATGTCTGTCTGTCTGTCTGTCTGTCTGTCTGTCTGTCTGTCTGTCTGTCTGTCTATCTATCTATCTATCTATCTATCTATCTATCTATGGTTGATTGCACTTATTGTCAGTTGTGTATCATTAGTAATTTGAAGATGAATGACTCCTTCTTGTTTTGCTCTAAAGGTAAAACCTGCCTGCTCTCTAACCCCTGTGCGTCCAACCCATGTGCAAACGGGGGCCAGTGCTCGGCCTTCGACTCCACCTACATCTGCACCTGCCCCCCCGCCTTCCACGGTCAAACCTGCAAGCAAGACGTAAACGAGTGCGCCCAGAGCCCCTCCCCCTGTTTCAACGGCGGGGCGTGTGTCAACGAGGTGGGCTCATACAGTTGCCGCTGTCCTCTCGAGTACAGGGGCCAACACTGTGAGACCCCCTACATGCCCTGCAGCCCCTCCCCCTGCCAGAATGGAGGCACCTGCGTGCAGAAGGGAGACACCACCTACGATTGTAGCTGCCTTCCAGGTAACACACAAACAACTGTTTTCTCATATAAACTCCAGGCCAAATCCAGAAAAGATAAGGGCTGCACATCTGCTGGAGTTTTCCTTTTTAAACATGTAGCAACCAACAGGAGATTGTCCGTTTTAGATGCTCACTTCAAAACTCCTTTCGGAGCGAGAGGCAGGAAACCAGTTTGAACTTGGTCATAAACCACCGTTTTGGCTGTTTTTACCTTTTTTGTGTAGATGTTCTTCTTTTTCCTCTTCTTCAACCTCGGTTGTTTGTTTTCTGACGCTTTCGCACCAGCAACATGCCCTCTCGCTTGCCTTCAATTAGCAGCTGTTTTCACGCTGAATCGTACATTACACAAACGTATTGTCTGGAGCTTGCAAGCCCATAGGCGCTTTCACACCAAGTAGCTTTCCCAGGAATAGTTCCCGGAACTTAGTTCCCCGGAACTCTTTAATTCCTGAACTATTTAGTAGATCGCGTTCACACCGGAATAAGTCCCTGAGGGAGGATTACGCAAATGAAGCCGCTGACGTCACTTCTTCTTCTTCTGCTTTGGGTTTACTGGCAGGCCGCAAACAACTTCACGGCGTATACTGCCACCGGAAGTCCCGGAGCCCCCCGGACTCTGGGATTTCGGGTGGCAGTAAATCGCCACCCGAAGTCCCAAGTAAATCGCCAGTAGCGCCGACACCTCTTCATCACTCCACCGCAACCACATTTTATTTTGTGTTGCCATAAGTTAGTCTCTCTCCGTTGGTGCACTGGGCTAATGCTAATGCTAATAATGCCAATGCAAGCAAATGAAATGGCGGCATCACAAAACTTTTCTGAGTTTTACGGGGCGTGGTTTGCAATTAGCCCAGCCAATCAGAAATTGGAACCATTTCCTCCCCAGGAAAGTACCACCTCTCTAGCAGGGACTGAAAAGGTTCCCGAGAACTAAGTTGTAGTTCCAGATTTTTTTGGTGTGAACGCAAAATCTCAGAAACTATCTGAACTATTCCTGGGAAAAGTAATCCGGTGTGAAAGCACCTCATTATATGCCTGATCCACTTGATTTGAACACTTGCATTCTCAAAAACAGCTCCTTAGGGTAACATTTAAATACATTTAGGTTGTAGCGCATGAGTAAACAATCAGAACAATCGTTTTTTGTTGACATATGGAGTTGCATACTGTATGGCTCGTGCCGCAACAGCACAAACACCTTTTTTTTCCCTATTACATCAGTCGACCGAAAAAAACAGCTTGTTGTTATAGTACAATCTGATTGAGTGGACGAGTGGTCCCTGCTTCCCCCCCACCCCCTCTCTGCCAACCTCCCCTGGCAGGATGCAGTCGTACAGACGTTTCCTTCTGATAATGTCCCACAACACCAGGGGTACACACATAAACGTATAGATAAACACGCCCTATTCATGAGGTCACACAAACCTATCTTGTTTACCAGCTAGATGCAGCCCCGGTCTGGTTGGCGTCTCTTCATTGTGTTGGCACCTTAAAGCCGCTGCAGTGTTGTGTAAAACTTTGGTTCATTTTGAGCTACTGTGGTGACTGCTGTTAGGGCAGGCCTGCAGCTGTGAGGAATCTCTCCCCTCAGAAGAACACTTTGTACGAAGCATTTTCTCAAGCATTGATTGGTTGAGGACTTATAAATGAGGACAATAAAGCACAATCAGTAAAAATTAAGAAAGATAATTAAAGGGGACCTATCATGCAAATTGCACTTTGTGATGTCTTATACATAAATATGTGTCTCACGCAGCGTCAGAAAAATAAAACCGTCTCTCTTTTCCTCCGTACCCAAATCTTTTAAAAACGGGTGTACAACGAGCGGATACAGATTCCATCCGATCTGACGTCAAATCGGCAGCGGACCCACAGAAAGTTGCTATCAGAAACAATGCCTGACGTGTTTTGGACATCTTTGTTTACATTAGCAAGCCTCACTAACACTCAGAGCTAACCT